AATGGATAGATAGGTATAATGTTATCCGAAGCAAATCAATAATCAACTTCATTAAGATACTAATTTGGGGATTATTGGTTGAACTAATATATTATTAGGAACCACGTAAATTGATATATTAAATGATTTTAGATATATTATATATACTAAATATTTATTATATGTTACTAAAACTTATAATAAATTATATATGTAAATAAATATTATATTTAAATATACAAATTATATTTTACGTTTATAATAAATAAATACAATATTTATTTATTTATTCATATTTTAAAAATATTAAAATTTAATTTATAAATAATTATGATAAATAAAAATTAAATTAAATAAAAAGTAAAAAAAAAAAACTAAAAAACTCTCTTAAGTCAAAGAAAGTCACGGGGTTGATTATTTATTGGTTCAATTTATCAGTAAAAATTAATTTCATTTTTTATAATATAATATTTTAAATAATAAAATTAAAAAAATTTATGAAATCAGGTTATAAAAATTCAAGTGACTATAAATAACTTAATTATATGTTTTATAAGATAAAATATTAGTAATAATAGAAAAAATAATTTATATTTATATGTTATCTTTAAATATGTGTTTTTATTTATCTTAAAACTATTTTAGACTATTTTTTTTTTAAGTATGATATTTAAAAAAATATGATTTAAATCATTCTTCTATTCTAATTTTGGAATGATTTTCATTTCTTTTGAATTGATATGACATATTATTAGTGATTTTAAAGAAAGACGGTTTTTTAGAATTATTTGAGGAGTCACTTGGCCAATTTTTAGTAATTAGTAGAATTGAGACACTTAGTATTTTTATATTTTATTTCATAAAAATATTTAAAAATTATTAATATTTACTAAATAAATTAATATTGTGATTAGTCCTTAAATTTCAAATTCAAGTATTAGGTTTTAATAAAGATAGTTAATTTTTATTATTATTTTTTATTATTTAAAAATTTAAGAGTAAAATTATATAAAAAAAAATGTGAAAATAGAAAAGTGATTATAATCTCGTATCTCCCTTTATTTATATATATATATATATATAATAACGTTTTAATATTATTCCAGTCCAATTTTAAGAAACATTAATTCTAAAGTTGTAAAGTCTCAAGGGAAATAAACATAGGAAAAATAAACATAAATATGAGGAAATCAAACTTTATTAACAACACAAATTAGAGTTTGGAGATTAATGGATTACACTAAAATTCACCTTATCACAATAAAAGAGGCTCTAGCTAAAATAGAAAAATGAACAAAAACATAAAATAAAATAAAATAAAAATAAAAATAAAAACTAAAAGAGAAGAAAAAAGAAACTGTAAAAAAAATGCACAAATATACCCTTGAAGAGATGCGAATTTTCATCTTTTAATCTTTCTGGATCTACTTAAGCATCGGTTTTTCTTATTACTTAAATTAAAATATTAAAACAGAAAGATAAATAAATAAAAATCTCATAAATTTAACAGAAAAGTAAAATAAAAAAAACTCCTAATCTAACACTCTAATATTTAGTTTATTGGGGACAAATATATTCAGTTTAAATTAAAAAAATACTGAAATACTTTTTAAATAGTAAAAAATTAGATAATTCACTAAATCGTCAATATAAATTTTTTGTGATAAAATTTATCATCATGAAAACTTTATTTAGTGAAAAATCAAAGAGGGCATGTATTACTGATACAAAGTAAACCGAGAAAGGATATTTATAAAAAGAAAAGTTGAAGAAGTAAATCCAAACACATTAGTTAATAGATTAATGTATTCTCTTTTTTTATTTCATTCATAAAATTTGATTTGAATCCTTGCAACGTATACTATATATGGTCTTACCTTAAGTATTTGTGACAAATATTAAAAAGAGCAAAACGAAAAAAGAATTTTATTAATGTATTCCTTTCATTTTTTTTATATAATAATCTAATTTCTATCCTTGCAATACTTATACTATATATTGTCTTACTTTAGTGATCCATAATGAATATATTTTGTATTATAATTAATTATTGACTTATCCAAACGATAGATTTTGATAAAATAATATATGTGCGGATGACTATTATATATAATAAATTTAGTGACTTTAAAAAAAAATTATCTAAAAGACATATATAACACATGATTTATGATTAATTGATAATACAAAACAGTTTTGAACTATATATAATTATTTAAAACATTAAACTCTTTTATTAACTTAACAATTTAAACACATGAATAAAATTAAGAGTATTATTGGAAAACTATATAAATATACCAATTAAAACAACAAATCAAAATGTAATGACAATATTAACAAATTTAATTATAATTTGCATTATTGCATTAAATTTGCTAAGTTATCTTTTATCTATATTAACATCACAACCACAGGCCAAATAACAAAAAGTTGAGTAGCTTCCTTACTCTCTTGTGTGTTAATTAAATGGATGGGAGAGAGATGAAAGGAAAACAAAAGCGAGAGAATAAGAAGGTTAAGAGTAACAGAGATCTTCTCATTACTTTTTCAAAGAGAAAATATGGTATTCATAAGAAAGCTAGTGAGTTATCAACACTTTGTGGGGCAAAAGTTGATATACTCATGTTTACTTCATCTGGAAATTGGTTTAGTTACGGGGAACCTTCTCACCAAGCAATGGCAAGGTCTAGTGATGAAGAAAGTCCCATAGAACTCGTGGAGGTTCACACCAAATCAGAGATTAATGAACTCAATGCCAAAAATAATGCACTTATGAGTCAAATATACTATGAGAAAAAACGAGAGGATGAACTTGATGCGATTTTGAAGACAAAAAATCCACGTGGTTGGTGGGAACCCAAAATACAAGATCTTAGTCGTGAACAAGCCATGGAGACGGAGGCATCTTTTGTGGAATTCAAAAAGAAATTGGAAAATGAACTTTCTATCAAGCATAGAGAGAAAGAAAATAATGCTTCTCAAGGTGAGGCCCTCCTCTTTCTTCTCCTTACGTGTCTCTATTATTTAAAAAAAACATATTATTGATTCGATAAAAATTTACAAAAAAAAAAAAAATAAACAAAAAATAGTGGAAGAGATATAGTAGGAGAAAATAGTTAAAAAGTTGATATAAAAATAAAATTTTCCAAAAAAAATTATGCACATCAAGCTATCGTTGTCCTAGATTATAGATTATAAATTATAGGTTATTATTATTATTATTATTATTCATTGACTTAGGTTTGATCAATGATTTCATTTTATTCTTTTTAATTTAATTTTGAGTGAAAGTGATATATTTTTTTTCTTTGTCCCCATATCAAGTGAATGGAATCAGTTCATGCCTCAGTTGCACAAGTGGGAGTGACATATCTGAAGTTGTCTTTGGTGTTAGAAATGAAGCTTGTGGAATTGGTGCAAGTGAAAGTATTTTGCCTGATATTTCTTTAATTAGTCCCACAAATGAAGAGCAAAAATTCAACTTTTTTCCATATGGTGAACGTAGGGAAGATCTATTTGATATTGTTTATCCTCCTAAAAAACAAGTTCGTGGAGACAACTTTTTTGTTGATGATTCAAATGGAAGTAGCAATCATACCCTTGTCTTCTCTTCAAATCAATCCGAAGAAGATAATCCATTTCTACCCGATGGAAATAATAAGACTACGGGTAAACAAGTTAGTTATGACATTTCCTTTTCCTTTTCCTTCTTCAAATCAACATTTAGATAATGATACATTTTTGTGCGATGCAGATAATGAGATTTCTAGTGAAAGTGGTAGTGATGCTCCTTTTGCCTCACTCCAGTTGAATCAACACCAAGAGGCTAATTCATCTATATACATTGAAAATGAGCAGATTGGTAATTTTTCTAGGCATCCATTCAATGGTTATGGCCAAAGCTACTTTTGAAATTTGTCATTCGCATCATTACAATTATCTTAAGCTTTAATATTTTATTTGTCTAGTCGTCTCTTTTAGTTTTTATCATGTTTGACTTGTAATATATTTGTACCCATTATGGATAGTTTGTCTTCTTTTTTTTTCGTTGTACCTTGTAACATTTGCTTTAAGATATATTATGAATTCTTATTATGTTGTCATTAAATGAAACCTAAATTTTCTAAACACGTGCAATGTCAATCTCTAGATAAATAAACATTGGCCAATAATTTACTAGCAAATTCAACAGAAAAAATATTTAGTTATGATGAATCTTCGGTTATCAACAAACTAAAGAGAATAAATCATCATTATATAGTGAGTCTTGATTTATTCATCATAGAAAAAATATTTTATAATAGAAAATTCAACATTTGTTATAAAAAGTTTTATTATAATTATAAATATATCATCATGTCATTTTCTATATTTTGTGAATAATATTTAACATAAAAGAAATCTGTTAGTAAAATTTTTACACTAGTGATTAAAGTTTATATTGTATAAGTTAAAAATATATAAGTTGTAAAAGAATTTATGAGTGTCATATTTCTATATTTTATGTCGATGTCGAATATGATTAGTGTTTGATCACAAGGAGAAACTTTTAAATATAATATATAAGAGTATATTATATGATAATAATTTTCTTATTTGAGAATGATGAATCTTATTCGTCGTTTGACCTTGTCATCTACTTTTGTGAAAGTTTTTCATATTTAAACAATTTTGAGACAAAAAGAATAATGGAAATGCCTTCTTGCTTTAAAAAAAAAATCAACTTTGTGTTCTTTTTTATATTTGTTATAACTTTGATTTCTTAAACTATTTAAAATTTATCTTCCTTTTTACCTAAACTAAATTATAATTATTTGAAAAGAAGAACATAAATAAATTTATCATTATTCTTTTTTTAAAAAAAACTTCTTTTCTAACACATTAAAAATTATTTTATTAAGGAAAATCAAATAATAATATAAATAAATGACTTAAATCTATAACGACTTGATAAGTCTCTATATTTTATATAGTTCAACTACTACCCAGTAAAGATACCAACTCAAATCAATTAACCTAGAATTTTTATGCAATAGTTACTTGATCATTCATACAATCTATATATGTATATAGTAGAAAATAAAATATATAATTGAAATCAACAAATCCCTTTATAGGGTTATATATATACCTTGTATACATATATGATCCACAACGACTACATAATTGAACAAAAAATAACTCCTAATTGTTGGTAAAGCATTTATACATTGACCATGCTACATCAAAGTAACTTAAAACAAAAGAGTCATCACCAATATGACTCACCACCACCCATCCAAGCAAACTTGCTAATCTTATTATACTTTCGTACAAAATATGATCATTGTAATTCTAATCACAAGGAAAAGAAGGATAAGCTTGTGAAATGAGATCAATATACATTCACAACATCAATTTACAATAATACAACATAAACAACTTAAATAACATTTAATCTAGCTCTACATATCAACTTCAACTTATAAACCACATCACCTTACCAACATTTCAACAACTTATAACACCACAACAATGTCATCATAATAACCTTAAACAATTAATATGTTATCACATATATCAACTATGGAGATCTCCTACAATAAGGGTGAAGGGTTTACGTGATTAGATTCTATTGAACCATAGTGTCTAACTTATTATAACCATGTCAAGTATAGACAATCTTAGACCTTAAAAAGTATCAGGTTTATAATTTAAATTTGAATTTTCAGGTTTTGCTACTTAAATTAAGAAGTTTAATACTATTGTCAAAGTATAATAGTTTGAATATTAACCTACCACAACATTAGCTTGTAATACTAAGCTTCGTATGGAATTAGTCTATCGACTATCCTTCAAATACTGCGTCCTTCAATACTCAGTTAAGGACTAAATTTCTAACCTTGTACTTTACTTGGTTGATTACTTTATACACGTATGTGTTGACTTGCCCACATACGAATTCCACATATATAAAACCTATAAGAAATAACTTGAAACAAATATTCATTTAGAAGCTAACTTACTTATTAAAGGATTCTCAATTGAACTCGCAAAGCACCACAATTTATATTCATACAATGAGATACTTTTATTTCTAAAATATCTTTTACTTTCTTATAGTTTTTATACATCTTAACAATGTATGTATACCACTTGTCTAACAGCTTAACTTAATCAACTATAACATCATATAGCTTTATAACTTAATCATCTATTAACTTACAATATTAGTAGCATAAACATCATTAAATAGTCTATCAACTCAAAACATAATGAATGTCATCATACCATCTTCATCATACAACTTAATCATCATCATTCAATCACAAAACAACTTAAAATATCACATTATAATGTGTCACTATAACATATACCTACACTTTTTAACAATATATCAATATATATTACATTTATAATATAGATAAAATTAGTTTTTAGTAACAAATATTATATTATTATAAGGTGTGTTACAATATATCAACTTTTTTTTTGTAGTGCATTAAATTGTATAATTTTCTTTGTTTATGAAAGTCACGTGTTAAATAGCAAGAAGTTTACCATTGAGTATATTTCTTATTCTCATTTATCAATTAGAATAGAAAGGAAAAACAAAAGTATAGAATATTAATATGATTGGTGGTAATAGACAACATCTCATTACATCACAAGATAGGTAGCTAGTTATAATTTTGTAGGTTAAAATTTCATATATACATATTTTTACCATCTAAAAAGTTTTCAGTTAAAAGAAACCTTCTCACCATTTGATGATAAGGTATATTAAAAAAATATTTCATTTTATATTTTTTTATTGAATTGGTCCAAAAGTTAATTTGTCAACTTAATTTAAGTTTATTTGACATGTAGGTTAAACAAATTGAATTAAAATAGTATAATTTTATATAGATTTTTTTTAAGGTCTAACTTGATCTTAAATATTAGTCGATCAAGTCAACTTATCAAACTGAATCTAAATCAAGAGTTCCATAGATGTTTCATTATACACATATCATCTTCAAGATTCAAATATCACACTATTGTACTTGTATCATTTTTATATTTATATAATATTTTTTTAACCTTTTATCTATTTAAATATATTATTTTTTACATTTATTTTAATATTTCTTTAACCTTTTATCTATTTGAATATTGTTTTCATATTCATTTTAATATTTTAATTTTTTTTTATCTATTTGAATATATGGTTTTCATATTTGTTCTTTTTTTTTTTAAGATTATCAATAGTTAAAAATAGGCTAAAAATCTATTTTGGTCCCTTATAATATTTTAAAGTTTCAATTTAGTTCTACTTTAATTTTTTGTTTCAATTTGATCGCTAATAATTTAAATTACTGCAATGTCAGACTTCCGTCTAAATTTCTTTAACGCCGTTTGGGCATTTTCCACATGGAAAAAAATAAAAATGTGATAATTTTTCACGTGGCAAGGGTCCCATACGTATGTCATGTGTTAATTTTGCATCTGGAACAACTCGTTCTGAAACTAGAACGACTCGTTCTGCTTGAACTCGTTGTGTGTTAATTGTGCATTTGGAATGGGCCAGATGGTTTAAGAACGGGTCATTCCAGATGCAAAATTAACACACAAGTGCAATCAGAACGGACCGTTCTGATTTCAGAACGGTCTGTTCCAGATGCATTAAAGAAGGAGGAGGAAACCTTGTCACCTATGCATCTACGTGACATCCACGTCGTCCACATTTAACACCGTTTGTATAATTTGGATGGAAGTCTCACATTGATTTTTTTTAAATTATTGAAGACTAAATTGAAACAAAAAAAATAAAGTGAGACCAAATTGAAATTTTCAATTATTATGAGGGACCAAATTAGGCTTTTAGCCTTAAAAATATATTTGCATTAAGATATAAATTATTTATCTTAATTAAAAATATAATTTATACACTCAACTATTTAACAAAATTTTAGTCATGATATAATATATATAATTATAAATATTAATTTATTATAAATCAATATATATAGAGAGAGGACAATTTTGTTTACTCTATGATAAACTTACTTCGTTTAATTACTAATGTTTTACATCAAATTTCAATGATTCAATCATTGAATTTAAAACTTTTAATACATAGATTAAGTTTACAAATTTTTTAATTTTTTAAAATCATTTGATACTTCGTTTCATTAATTTAAATCCACGTATAAAATAATTTTATGATTATCTGTCAATTTGAATTAATGAAATTATTGGCATGATTAGTTAATTAGCTAATCAAATCTTATTGATTAACTAATTCGTTAACCAAATCTTATCTTTTATTGTAACATTAATTTATTTTTCAGTACTATAAAACAAGAGTTATCGAATGAAGTAAATTTAGATTTACTTATTTCTAGGATAAATAAATCTCTCTTCACACACACAGTGACACACACAGAAACAGATATACAAATATATATATATATATATATATATATGTATACACACGATGATTCGTTGATGTTAGTCTAAAAACTTACACAAAATTTTATATTTTCAATTTTATATAATGTAAATTTAAAGGATCTGATCATTAAATTATGTGATATCATACTCAAGATCATGTATATTAAATAAAGTTAATCACCTATACACTGTAAGTGTAAAGTTTTTTTACACTGGCAACCAATTATAACTTTTAATTGTGTCATGTCACTGTTAAAAATAAATGTGTTTATAGTGACATGACACAATTAAAAGATATAATCGGTTGCCAGTGTAAAAAAACTTTACACCGACAGTGTATAAGTGATTAACTCTATTAAATATATAAATCCCAAATAATTAGATCGATTAATCTTGCATTATATAAAAAATTATATATATGTGTGTGTGTTAAGATTCATTGATATTAGATATAAGTCTAAATTTTTACACTAAATCTTATATCTTCAATAATTTTTTGTATAATGTAAATTTAACTATTCCAACAATTGAATATGCGATATTATATTCAAAATCATATATATAAAAATTTAACATGATTCTAAAATTATTTAATAATTCATCACTATACTTTGTTTTAACGTATATGATAATTAAAATGTGTAAATATCAATTTTTAGATAATATATTTAAAAAAATTAAAATCATGTGAGATTTAATATATATGATCTAAAATATAATACCATATAAATTAATAATTAATTTAATTATTTTTATATTATTCAATATAAATTTTTAGACTTACACGTGAGATTAATGTTGTTTATCTTACTCCCTCTCTATATATACATGTATAAGATATAAGATTCTGTTGTATGCTATTTCATGGAATCTTAGAGAGAGAGAGAGTCGGTAAGAAGTGGGGGAGGAGTGAAAAGCCGGTTAGGTAAATAGTTGATGCTTTCCTGATTAAAGAATCTCTAGCTGATTCTCGCTATATTCCTCTTCCATTTTTATTCTTTACCTCTTTTTTTTTTTTGTTGGACCAACAAACACAAAGGTTGCATGGGACTTGTACTTATATATGTATATATATATATTAAAAACAACTTTTTTTGCTTTGTAAACACTTCATTTTCCCTCTTCTTCGTTGTTCTGATTCTCATCCGGATATTCTTTCCTCATGAAGATATTGATTCCACTTTATTCTCTCTATTAATGTGCAAGTATCTTGTATAGTGATAATTGATTATCAAATTGAAATACATATTTATTCTATAAATGAAGATATTATCTCTCTACATAATTTGTATATTTATTTTAATATTTTTTCAATCTTGAGTATATTATTTTTAATATTTTTTTTTTAAAAAACTTATAAATAATTAAAATATAAATTATTTATCAGCATAATTTATATTTAAATTATTTATTTGTCATAAATTTAATTATTATATAATATATCATAAAAAAATATTTATTATAAATTTAGTTATATAAAATAAAAAATAAAATGAAAATGTGCAATATAAAACAGAGTTAATGAATTAATGAAAGAAAGGAAGAGCTAAAATAAACAAAAGGTGAGGTGAGATTATGATATTGATAGGAGAGTCAAACCAGCAAGTCAAAGAGAAGAGCGAAGAGGGATTTTATTTAATTTATATTTTTTGAAAAAAAGACCTAAAAAAATCGACAATGTTGTTTATGTGACAGGGGAAGGTGTCTTTTCTTTCTCCATCCACGACCATAATTCTTATCGCAGGAAACAGATTATTCAGTTTATTATTAATTATTATTAATTTATTTTGCATCGATGTCCCTCCACTAAATCAGCGAAACTGTATCACGTTTTGTTGGTGCTGTGAATCTGTGATACGATACGCGCACGCACGCACATGCATATGCGTATGTACGCGTAGATCTGGAGAAGAAGAAGAGTAGAAGAGAGAGAATAACGCAAGGCGGTGTTTGGAACGAGGCCATGTCAGGTTTCACAGATGCTCACTGTTTTCCGCGTCCAATCCTCGCTGTCAATCTCGCTCTAGCTCTTCTTCACGCCCTTGTTGCGTTCCTCGCCTCCTTTCAGGTTCCGCATTTTCCTTTCTCTTTTCACTTTCGCTAACCAATTTAGGTTTTCTCTCCAATTCGGACAAGGAACGCGCGGAATGGTACACTTAGAGTCTGTTGAATTTGGGGGAAAATTCAATGTGCATTTTTAAAATCTGCGCGATTATTTAATGTTATCGGATTTTTATTTTTATTTTCTGGGGGTTTTGTTGAAACTGTTGTTTTTTAATATTCAATTGACTACCTCTATGTACACTGAGGAATAATCTGCGTAGGAAGTAGTGTGTTTTTGTGGTTAGTTTTCTTAACTATCGTTACTCTTGAAGTTGACTTTTGTGGTTGCACTTAGTTTGGGATGAAATTTTCGTAACGTTGATTTGAGATATTGAGCTCCTTGTGCTGGTGGGAAGTGCTGAAGTCTGAAGTTATTTGCGTTTACTTATTGTCAGTTTTTTGTTGTTTATTTGGGTGCTCCAGTTGTTGAGGATTCACACGAGGAATTCGCAGCTTGGTTGGACTCGCCAAAAAGTAAGTGTATCTTCCAAGCTCCTTGTCTGAACTTGCTACTGTCATTAGATCTTTTCTGAATGGATGAGCCTGAGCCTCTTTGTGTTGTGAAATGTAAAAAGTGAATGACCTCCGCTTAATGGTTAGTGGTAGCCTCACTGTGAATAACTTCTGCTGGAATTATGTCTTTAGTATACCAAGTATCAAGATTTGAGAGGGTTCCCAATGCAACATTCATTAGAGCATTAGGATATGAGTCATTGGTCAAATGTGTGTATAAGGTTAGAAGAATATGCCTTTTTAACTACTTAAAATAACTGTCTCTTAGTAATTTCTAGATTAAAATATGTCTCCCCTTTACGTCAGAGTTCAAAGACTACTTTATTTTCTCATTTTGCCTTTCTAAATTTTTCTGGTGGTTTTTTTTTTTTTTTCGGGGGTGGGGGGGTGGTGGTGTGTGTGTGTGTGTGAGAATCTTAAAGATGAATGTATAATGCTATGTACTATGTAGTTAGCATTTGGAGAGGGATATTGGTATGCAGTTAGCATTTGTATAACATTGCACATAAGAATATGCTACTTCTATCTTTGAATTTTACAAACATATAAATTTTTTAAGGGTTTTAGTGTATTAGCTTCTAATGAAATGTAAATATGATGGATTGCAGGTGTTCCATGTATTGATTGGCTCTTCTAATTTGGGTTAGTTGCATTTTACTTTAGACGATCAACTATATTCTTACTTTTATGGTTAATTTAAGCCTTTCAGCTTTTCATAGTTTGCTACAATATATGAGCCCATTCTGATATTTTATCTATTGCTTGTTATAATTGATAAATGATTGGGTTTATTAGATAGATTTGGTACATGACTATTAATGCCGTGTCTAAGATGGCTATAGCTCTTGCTCTAGTGTTAGTGTTACTCTACTAGACATCTATTGTAGTTTTATCACATCTTATGTACTTAAATAAATTTTGAAAGCTAGGAGTGATAACAGAAAGGCTTGATACTTGACTTTTGTTTTCCTTTACAACTTTAGAAGTGTCACCAAAATCCCAGATTTTTTATTCATGTGAAACAGGAAATAAATATCTACATCTGTGAAACACTTCCCAGTTCTGAAATGTCAGGCTATTATACTTTAGGTACTGAGAATTTGTATATTACCAAGGAAAAAATGCTTTGTATTCCTGACTCCTGAGCATTTTCTTTTCCATTCTTCATAAGTATGGGTACCAAGATGGGGATGAGTCCGGCCCAAAGGAACTTAACATTGCCTGGGCCTTGGTTAGCATTCTTTAGCTTGTTGGTAGACTTATAGTGTGTTTGTATAACACCCAAGAATCAATTCTACCCGCAAAATCATGGCAATACCATGACAAAGTAGAAGCAACTATTTGTTGTTTTAATTAATTACTTATCACCATGAAGCTAATACAAACACAATATTAAAATTTAGCTCGTTACAAACACAACCTTAAGACAGTACAGTCTCAACTCAATTCAACACCCCCTCCCCACCCCCATCCCCTCTCTCTCTTCATGCATGTGTGTGACTTGTCAATACTTCATATCTACATCTGTCTCTCTCTTTATCCCATCTGAACTACTCAATTTAAAATTTCAGGTTATGTCATTTATTTGACATTGACACTCATTGCCACTTGCAAGGGATGGACCTGTTGGTCACACTCTTGTGGTTTCATATTTATGGGTAAGCCCCCATTCATTACTGACTAGACACCTGCGATATACTTTTATCCTTGATTAAAATGTTTGACCTGTTGAAAATTGTTTTGCAGCTTTCCCGAAAATACTTTTTTTTGCAGCATTTCTTCTTCTTTTATCCTTCTGGTATGTAGTCTTGCTTATTATTAAGATATTTAAATTTGTTTTGTAAACTAGCAGTGTTTGCTAGAAAAAATTACTTGTGGCATTTACTTACAAACTGTCTTTAGTAGGGATGGCAATGTGTAGAATCTAAGTAAGATACTAGAGTATTTGTGCCAATACCCACATTTAAGAATAAAGACCCATGCTTTCATAGGTAGCAACTTTAATGACATTACCCTTACAAATGAGCACCTATATATGTAGACCATTTACTGGAATATGGCCCCCTTTTAAATTTATTTGTGAACTAGTAAATAAGCATGCTATTATACTAATGTTAAACGAAGAAAGCTAAAAACAGAATTAATTAAAAGTGCAACATTGAACTCAGTTCAAAATATATCTACAAACAAGCTTGCCTTTTTCTGGAAGACGTGTGCATATTTTTGTGTGAGCTACTTTGCCACTTAGATGTTACAGACTGTTGGTTATGTTTGATTTTCTGAGAGTTGTCAAGAATTCAAACATTATTTTGTTTTGGCATATTTAGACTTTTGAGGCGGTATTATTATCTGTTGCAGGCATTGTGTTTCAAACCACTTCAATTATTTTTTTAAGTTTTTAACTATTTATATCAAGTGATTGAACTGAACTCTCGAGTCAGGTTAGCCAAAAGTATAAGTTGTATGTTAGAATCCACCAAATAAATATTGCACAAGCAAAATTTTCAATCATTTATTACATCAAGTTGATATTGCAAAATCATTGATGTTGAAATTTTCATTTTTTTATTGCTTCCTTTTCTGTTCGCATGGTCTTGTTGGGAATTGGGATAATATTCCTTGGCTACAAAATAAGTCACAACCACAGGATTACTAACAGTGACAGTAATGAATCAAAAGCTTTATAATGAATTTTTATAGTGACATTAATTTTTTTTCTTCCATAATATGAATTGGTAGATAAGAACAAATTTGAGGTGGTATGGCAATGAGTGAATATGTGAGAAGAACACATGAAAGTTTTCTGCAGATGTTGAAAACTCTGAAAATTCAAGGTGTGTGCTTTGGGTTGGAGGGTGCTGGTGTATTGGATGTTGGACCACATTTCACCCCTCTTGCATAAATATTTAATCACGTAGCCCTGCAAGTACCTTTGCTGATGTTTGTCTATATCATCAAATTTTAGGCCCTTCTATTGCTAAATATGAACTAGTTTCCACATTGCACTTGGGTTTTCTTTTTCAGGGTTGACCTTTGCCATCAGCCAGATGATGATGATGACTATGAAGGAAGTTTTTCTGAAGAACCTTTGCTGGAAAAGGCTTCAAATGAATTAAATTTAGCAAGCATAGATAGCCATAGAAAATGCTTTCCACTTCGGTTTTCTCGTGTTGGAAATCGGCAAAAGATTGTGATTTTGGTATGGGAAACAATTAAGGTTTCTTATGTTCTTATTTTTGTAGTATCATTTTTTTCCTTTGTTTTGACTTTTGATAGTTGTCTAATGATTTTCCAGGTCACATTGCTAGTTTTCATCATCGCGATGGCATTTGCTGTAATAGTTTGGATTGGGCTAGGAAAAAACCCCATTGATTCTGAAGTGGCAGCTCGGGTATGGCACAGTAATTTTAGCTTTGGTTTATAATCTATCCATTAAAAAGGACTTAGTTCTTAGATGGATTTCCTGAGGATTTAGTTAATGAAAAAATGCAATGTTATGCTTTTATCCATTTAGCCAATCTTGCCTAAAAAAGGCTTTGGTTGCTGTTGTTATTTATAATCTGTGATGCCCATGTGCCGCTCTTCAACTTTTTGGTGGTATAATAGTTGTAATTGACTAATCAAGGAATAAATGGTTATTTTTAATTTGAAAATATAAGCTAACGCTTATAATATAAAAAGGCTTCTATTTCATTTTGGTTTGAGATAGAATTCTAAACATATGAAGGACCCTTTTCACCTAATTCAATATATTTTTCCTTGGTAAAAGAAAGTGGCCTAGGCTCATTCAAAGTTAAATTCTTCTAAGAATCAAAGATTTAAAGCTACCCAATATCCCAACATATCTATAAGAGAACCCTTCTAATATGCTTGTGTGCCCCATGTAACTGACTGTTGTTTCTTTCTAATGTATAACAAGCTTTAGATAGAAATCTTGAAGTTTATTCTAATTTTCTTTTAGGAAAGAAAAACAATTTAGTGTAGGAAGACTTTGGCATATTTTGTTTGGATGAAATGAAAATTTTATAATACGGGGATGGTTTATACTGTATACTATTTACTAATTATGCTAATATTGGCACTGGGTACTTATCAGTATTGTCAGTAAAATTAGCCTACAGGGAACTCTAAGTTGAGCTCATTAGTGATGAGTGTGTTTTTAAATATTGTGCATGAATCATGCTTGTTTCCTGTCTTTCAAAGATGTTTCTAAAGCATGGTTTGTCGACCAAAATTATCATGCAGGTATATTTATATCTTTCTGCTACAGGAATGCTTTTGTTGGGAGGAGCATTAGCATGTTATGGTGAGCGACTGCTGTTCTATTTTTCCATATAAGTTCCAGTGAATTTTAATTTAATTAATTTATGGGTTTTAAATGCGCGCTATACCACCACTATACACCAGTGTGGAGCGGCCCTTGCCCGCTGCAGGGCCTGTCATAGTGGAGTGGTTTAGTGTTGCAGCCCTAGCAGGCACTACACTGACTGACTGTTAATTTCAAAAAATTCCCTCTGAACAGACATTAGGGCTTTTTCTAGGGGCTATTTTTGGGATTTTAATTTCCAAAAATAAATTCTATAGATGTAATAATAGTGAAAATGATAAAGACAACTTGGATTAGAAGATGATTGATGATTCCTTTCTAGGAAACTTGTATTTGACTTTTGTTGGTATTTACTTGTATTTTTTATTTAAGACACCTATGACTTTTTATTATTAATAAAAAATGTCATTAACTTTGAGTAGTTTTTACCATTTTTGTGAATTTATATGTATATAGTATACATATTATATATACGGAAATTTTCAAAATAGCAAGCTAGCTACTATCCAACTATATGTTCTCTTGCTATATCGTTTTTGGGAACTGACACTATGCACTGCTATCTTGGATTTAAAACATTGATCAATTTCTTTTGCTCAAGTGGATATACTGCTTTGTTTGTCTGTATATCACTATATCCTCATAATTCATGTCTTTCTTGACACTACATTATGGGTCAGATTTCTGTGGAAAGTTGATTGTAAATAAAATCATAACATGTAGATGACTACATTCCTACATAACTATCTGTCTTTCCCAATTATCATACCATCCTAGCATTATGCTTTGATTTTTGTTATATTAGTGATATTAAAAGTTGTTATTTTGGAGCAGTACTCTAGTTGGTATAAGTTAGATACTATTGTCTTTCCTAATTCCCATACCATCCTAGCATTATGCTCTGATTTTCGTTATATTATTGATATTAAAAACTTATTTCTGGAGCAGTACTCTCAAATTGTTGTTGTAAGCTAGATACAATTGTCTCTCTAGATGTAGCACTAAATTCTACTTTTGATTAGAAGAACGGGATTGATAAGAACCGAACACTACACCCCTTGGTCATATAGAGGCTTTGATTCACTGATACCATGTTAGATTTATAATCTGAAAAGGTGCAAGTCACTTTTTTTGTTGGGGGCCAGGGGGGCGGGGGTAATTGTTGATGGCTAGGGAGTTGTGATATGCCTCTTATTGTAGACTGAGTCTTTATTATAATGTGTAGTGTTTTTTTAACAGGAATCCTATTATGCTTGAAAATGAGCAAAGTGAGAGCCGAGAAGCCTTCATCTGAAATGTGGAAGGTACTGCATTTCTGTTTCCACTGGAGTATTCGACAATATTATATATATATATATATATAGAGAGAGAGAGAGAGAAAGAGAGAGAGTTAATCACCTATACACTGCCAGTGTAAAGTTTTTTGCATTGACAACCAATTATATCTTTTAATTGTGTCATGTCACTATAAACACATTTACTTTTAACAGTAACATAACACAATTAAAAGATATAATTGGTTTCCAGTGTAAAAAAACTTTACACTAGCAGTATATAGGTGATTAACTTATATATATATATATATACACACACACACACATATATATATATATATGTAGCATTTCTTATTGAACCTTTTTTTCAAGGACTTGGTCTGCCAGCCACTGGGTACCCACCCATGGCTGATCTACCTTTTCATCTGATGCTTATTTTAATATTAAATATATACATATATAGAGAGAAATATGCAGACTTCTTCTGTCGTGCTTGTGTGTTATTAAATTTAAATTAAATAAATTGTTGAAGTATTCTGTTTTCTCAGGTTGCAGGTTTAACAATTGTCTCTGTAATATGCTTCACATCAAGTTCCTGTGTAGAACTTTTAACCGACATCCCTGTATGTATAAGTTAACTAGGTGCAATAATTCTACTCTTTCTTGATACAAGATTTAAAGGTTTCCTGAACTTACCCGTCATGTTATTATGTTATTATTGCAGATGCAGTATGACTGGCATCAGCGACGTCTGAATGATGTTTCAACCTCTCTTTTACTCATTTTGTATTATTTTGTGGGTATGTGCTGTTAGCTACCAGTTATCTTAATTCAGTTGCAAGAATCCTCTATTCATTCCATAAACAGTATTTGAAATAGTTTTACACGGCCATCTGTCTAATGCTTGGTTTATGTTCTCCATTCAACTTTCACATAATGTACAATTGTTAATTGCTTCCTGAAGTGGTTTCATTTCATCTCCTTTAAATCTCTAAATCCGACACTTCTTCCAGGTTCATCAATACCTTCAGCAGTAGTACTGTGGGTAATGAGAGAATTACCATCTGCAGAAGCTGCTGGCATACCAGAAGAATCAAGTACAATAGCTTTTGTAGCTGATAGTTCAATTGCAATTCATCATCCTCAACGCTGGACTACAGCAACAAGCATGCAGAATCAGGTCCTATATCACACATCTCTTCCTTAGGTTAAATTATCTATGCAGTATTCAACTATTCTGACTACACATATATTGAAGCCTTCGAGTATTCCATAATGTTCAAACTCTTTCGTGTCATTTGGTCAATTCTTTTTCCTCTTCTTTTCCTTCATAGATTTTTTTTTTCATATGGACATGGATTGCTCAAGCTTGTTTCCTACAAATGTCATTGCGACGTAAATGATGGTTCAGCATAATACAATAATACATCTATGCGGAATATTATGATGTTTAAATAAGTTGAGCAAAAAAACCTTGTTTAGTCAACCTCCAAGCATGGTTCTTTTATCAATCCTATAGTAGTTATGCTTGTCATAGTTCACTGTTTTTTAATGTTGTCATTCTTTATCTCTATGGCACGTGCATGTACTCCCTTTTCGAGCTAGCTCCCATTGTGTTAATCTTGGTAGCTAAATTATTTTCTATGCATATTATTTATTATCTTCAATTTGTGTTTATGGCATCTGTTACTTTGAAAACTCGCATAAAAAATAGTTAGTGACACAAACTCTTATTATTGCAGACATCCAGAGCGAGTCCTATATAATTATAGATTAACCTTTGCAAATATCTTCTTGTGCTGCTGGAGTTTGGACAGCTTGTTGGAATTTCTTCAGCATATGTTTAACATGAGCGCAGATGAGAAAAAATGATGATGATGATGATGGATGCAAGTGCTCAATGGCCTTGAGGTTTTCCTCTTCCCACTGTATTTACAATCTAAATCTAAATGTATATAGCAGCAATTTGATATATGAAAAATTATTTTCCTTCTATACAAATTTTGGGACGCAACTGTTTCAATTTTCAATGCTAGTTGGGTATTTTTCAGAATTTGAATAACTCCCGTCTGGTTTGAATATGACTGTTGCAGAGTGAGAGCATGTTCTTCTAGCCCGCTTGCAAGCTGAATTAATTAATCTCGACAAATATATTTTTCTTTCTGAGAGCATCTGCAGTGGGGTTGCTTATAAACAATCTCTTGTGTCACGTCAGTTCTTTTTCACTTTATGGGTTGTTTAAATTTTAGTAAAGTTGCTTGTAGAAGCTCCAGTACTAAAATTTAAGCAACTCATAAAGTGCAAAAGAGCTGATGTGGCATGATGTGGCATAGGGAGTTGCTTATAAGCAACCCCCGCTGGAGATGCTTTGACTTGACTATAGTTATAATTACACGTCACACTTTTTGAAAAATACCATGTCTGCCTGGGAAAGTATGTGATTCCTATCATGAACCCCTGAATATTTTTATCACGATTTTTACAGTTTTTAGGCAATATGCTCTTCAATCATTCTGCTCGACTCAATTGAAGCTTATTAGCCTACTTACCCTAGGATGCATAATATCCGTGATTTGAATGATATTGTTCGTAGTAGTAAACATCATATTTGGTTGGAACAGTTTCGGGATCCATAATCATTTTGTCAACCTTTTAATTTCTTTTTCTATTGAATCGACTGCTGGTATGTTTAAGCTTTCATCCGGATAAAAACACAAAAAAAAAAAAAAAAAAAAAAAAAAAAAGGAAAGGATCATAAGCATATCAACAGTTTTGGTTAAACATTTAAATAGTATTTTTTAATAATAAAAAAATCTCACATAGTAATGTATTTTCGGGATACTACAAAAATATATATATTATGTTTCTAATAAAAAAATTTAATCTTTATTTCTTAATTCTTAATCTTTATCTTTAAAGTAATAATCAGGTAAATAAAGTTAAAAACAATATACTTGCAAAGTTGAGAATTTCCGAGCGTCAACGGTTAGGCAACTAAATGGATTTTTGAATCACCATGTGCCCTAAAACGTCATAAAAGCTAGAAGGCCACTGAAAAAGGGCTTTTCATCGGTGCGCCACTAACATCGAAAGATTAATTGGGGGACAAGTGGACGATAACATGCATGCATAACGATAATGTGTTGCTTGAAATCTACACTTTAACAAAATATAACAGGAAAATAAAAAATAAAAAGTCAACGAAAAATTTAGCAACCATGTTACACAAGGAATCAAAAAATCAGCGTTGTTCATAGAAAAGGCCTTTAGCTTTCATACGGTCAACAATTACGAGAAACAAGCTTCAAACTGACCGCACCGTGAAATAAAATCCAATGCCAAAATGAAATAGTTGAGCACAACAGCATCATATAAAACTTAAAATGTGAACAAGGGTACGAGAAGTATTCTGAGAACGAGAATGAAGCAAGGGAGTTATCAACCATAAAAAATTATGGTACATTCATAGCATAACATGAATAATAAACCGAGTTTTAGGGTAAAAGAGATAAGCCAACAACACAATCAAGCACAACCGAAAAGTACAATTACGATAGTAATTTCTTACATGACCAGAAAGAGTAAAATGTCAGTCATAATTTATTACTTAGCAAAGGCCTCTTCTTATAAAACGGAACTAAAACGGAACTAGGATGGTGAGCGAGGCTAGAAGGATGCTAATTCATAGAGGATGATGGCAAAGTTGGAGAAATAGTCAATTATTTGCCGCAGCATATGACCAACTTACATTTTCATGGTCCAACTCCGAATTGTTCCATCTCAACTTTGAGAGACTTGAGGTATTTAACAGCTTCATCTAAAACAGCAACACTATCCATTTGATTACCTCCACCAGGCACAATCCTTCTCAACATCCTCACCATCCTCTTCATCTCCCGGTGTTTCCCTTCATTGTGGCCGTAACCCCCTTCTCCAGAAGACTTTTGCACAGAAGACGATGACGACCTTTTTTTCCTTGATTTTGAGCAATAACTTGAGCAAGTATCTGATATACTTTCATAATTTTCATGAGTCCTTGCTGTGCTTACCTCTTCCTCATCAAAGTCTTCTAGTTCGTCTGCTCCTATGCTCAACAATGCATCAATGTCATTAGGATCTTCTTCAAAAGGAGTTGACAATTCTCTTTCCATTTGAATGACTTTATTCTTCTCAAAATCTTGACAAGTAGCATGAACATTTAAGCCAGGACCACTAAAATTGTAGGTCATTGCAGGATGGAACATAATCCTGCTTTGTTGATCTGTTTGATCAAAGATAATGAAATTCTTAGGGCAAGCCTCAGATGGTTGCAAATTAAATCTTTCAAAGGGTGTCATCTGCCTCACGCCTGGAGGTAAAAATGCATCAGGTAAAAATGCATCGAAGGAAGAAGCAAATGGAACATGCATATGAGCATCAATGGCCTCATCTTCCAAAGGAAGTACCATCTTCTCCGGGAGAAAATATTCTTGAGTCTGCATTATGTTACCTATTCACTCTGACCGACGTTCGAGTCAATGCTGATTTAGCCTATGCAACTGGCAATTATTCTGTACTAAAGCTGGAAGGAACTTCCTAAAGGAATGTTAAAACTAAACAGAAGGTGCTAAGGTGATTCCAATTTCCATCTAAGAAGTGGTGACAACTTTTCCAAATTAAATCTTCATCTCTCTGCAGCTTTATAATGATGAAGTACTATAAGGCAATCCCCCCCCTAAACCAATGTCCCTCAGTGCTAGACTACGTAACAGGTTTAAGCAACTGACGGAAATACTCAGCCTGCAAAACAAAATGGTGTGGTAAAACAGCAGTAATAGTAAAGGGAAAAAACTAAAAAAGATTTTGTTGTTATATTGACAATTAGTGAATTTGACGATGATGTTCAATACTGTCAAATATACAATTAGAGAAAAATTCCACCCATTCAAAAGGTATGTTCCAGACAACATCAGAGGGAAGATACAAAATGCCATCTAATGTTCAAATCTTACATCCTCCATGACAACCAAGAAGTAGGGGATAAGAAAAATTCACCTGGCAAACAAGCATCAATTGGTTGTACGCAATGACTCCAACACACATTTTAATTTGTCCAACTTCCTTCACAGCTCGGTATCTCTTTATCGTTATCGCAAAGTACATATTATCAATCCTCCCAACAGCTTTGGAAATGAAAGGAAAAACTAATGGAAAACGTTCCTTCACAAACCTAATGGGACTACACCTGCAGCTACAAGAAACATATAAGATCACAAGAGGTAATTCGAAAGTAGCAAGTCATAAAATTCCATAAAATATGAAACTATAGTCTATAGAAGCTGTAATCATGTATTCTTTCACATATATTTATAGGAGCCATAAGGTGTTCTCCATGAATCAAAACAATAGACATTGAAAAAAAAAATCTACAAAACGCAGCAAAGAGTTACAACAGTAACAAAAGTAACACTCAAAGCTCACTTCACAATTATTTTCATTCCACAGCAAGCAATAGACATTCAAAAAAATTACAAATCACATTCTAATTAAATTTTCATTAAAAACCAAAATATACGACATGAATAATTCTACAAACTATAGAAGCAGATAGACAGGACAAAATTCCTCACCTGAGCTAATTAAATTACAGAATCACGCGAAAAAACACCACCAAGCGAACACAATTTCTTTTGTGATCTACAAACAAGGAAACCCACGCCATCTTGACTTAGCTCCACTCCAGTTTATCAGAAAAAGACAAACCCAAAAATCTGACCTGAAAGTGTCAAAGTAAGGCTTCAATTGAAACGCAAAATCAACCGCCAATAATAGAAACACGTCAGGAATGAAGAATAACTAACTCCAATCTAGCTCCAAAATATTTATAAAAATAAAAAAGGAAAGTTATTAATTATTATCACAGTTCAGATTATCCTAATAAAAATCCTAAATCTAGCCTGAGGCACAGAACCCATCATTCAACTTTCATACCCATTAACTTAAATGAGATTTTGCAGCCAACTAGACGGTAAAGTTCCAAACTTTGCATCAAAAGATGACCCCCCCTCCCCCCCACCAAACCAGCAAATCAAATTCAAAAATAAAACCCTAGCTACCATTAAAGCAAAACTCAGCACGTGTATATATATAATCTTTCTTTTTTTTTTTTCTAAGAAAGACAATTTAAGATATAGATCTTCAAAGTAGAACCACATCAGCATAAATCAAATTCAAAAACATCTAATTTTAGCAAAATTGGCGACAACGTTAAATGGCCCAAATTGGGGGAAAATACCAGAGACAGAACAAGACCTAAAGTTTTGCAAGAAGAGAAACAAAATTGAAGAGGAATCAGAGAAGGGTTGTGATGAAAACGCAGAGAATTTTAGCAAGGATGTGTTTGAAGTTTGGTTGGGAGCATTTTTCTTTTTCTATGGAGATTTGAAGGAGAGAGAAAGAGAGAAATGTGAGCCGTTGGATGGGATGAGCATGGTTCTTGGAAATGCACTTCCGTTTATTGCGGGTGTGATTGCGACCGTTGGATCAGAGCGCGCGTGAAGAGGAAGTGGGGCCCGCGAGGTTTGACAATGCATACATAATGGACTCACACTAGTCACTAGTTTCCATGTTCACCAAGTGTGGATTAGTTTTTTTTTTCTATTATTATTATTGTTTGAGAAATGTAGATAGATGAAATTATTACGTAGGATTATTACACCCGTTTGATGCTAAATGTGAGATTAGTTAATTATGTAATAACTTGGTATACTAAATTAAGAGAAATCTTACACGACTAATCATACTTTATTAACATATTCTTTTTTTTTTTGTAATTGATTAATATTTATAAACAAAACAAAAATTTTGTTGATCATACCATTAATCAATATAAACTCATTAAATATGTAACAACTCACCTTAATTTCTACACTTTACAAAATTGACACTTAAGATTAACAATTATCATTATTTAAGATTAACACGTAGATAGGTCCTAGGATCACAATAACAACATATACATACATGCAATAAAGGTTGCATCACCAACCAAAAACATTATACAATTATGTGTGGGTTGTAATGTAGCAAGTTGTTTTAAAAAGCTTAATATAGGTGATTTAATAGCCCATAACGGGCCGTTCCCAATCTGGAACGGGCCGTTCCAAGCTATTAAATTGGCTTGTAATTCGTGGTTGAGAACGGGCCGTTCTGGTTGGAGAACAGGCAGTTCTGGTTGGAGAACGGGTCGTTCTGGTTGGAAAACGGGCCGTTCTGGATGGAGAACGGGCCGTTCTGGAAGGGAGTACGGGCCGTTCTGATTTCAGAACGGGTCGTTCTGCATGAGTTTTTTTCACTTGACGAAGCAGTTCAGAACGGGCCGTTCCGAAAAGTCTATAAATAGGAGTTGAGGGCCTTGAGGAGAATGCGAGTTTTTAGAGAGAAGTTTTAGAGAGAAGGTCTCTGGGTCTGTGAGCTCCTTTCTCCCTCAAATTTCTTTATAAGATTCCTTTTTTTCTCTAGACCACTAATGTCTTCTGTCTTTTCTTGAAATTCAGATTAGAAAGCTTGCTTTGGGTAGATTGAAGTTTTGGGTTGAGCTACGAAGGAAATTTCTACTTTTGTTCAGTTTTTGGCTATCTGAGCCAATCTTCATATATGTATTTGCTTTAAATTTTTAGAAATTTAATTTATTCTTTTAAAAATTTACTTGATATTTATATAATTTTTATTCTATTTTAAATTTATGTTAAATGAAACTTAATTAATATAATTTTATAAT